TGCTTTTATATTTTTAAATTGGTCTTTTTAGAGACCTGTAATTCCCATGGAGCTTACTTTTTTTAATTCAATGTTTAGGTAACAGTTACAAATTCATGAGCTGAGGGTGGTATTATAGAAATACTTCACAGCCCTCTAATGTTATCAAGAATATTTTGAGGGGACAATTATAGTGTATTTTCTCAGATAAGGAAAATGTTTTTTTAAAGAATATTTTAATCTTCTGTTTTAAGCATCTCTTGGATTTACATTGTAACTGTATATAAAGCAGTGAAGCAAAGGAAATTTCAGATAAAGCTAAAAGTAGGAACATTTTATTTCAGAATCATGTGAATTGATATTGTCAGTTAAGCCTCAGTGTTTTTAAGCTTTTGTTAATCTTGCCACCATCTTTATATTGTTAAAGATATTTGTCTTTTGGAAGTTTCCTATAAAGAATCTTATAATTACATGTTTCATTCCCAATTTATGTGTGTGTAGGAGGGGACTTTTTTAGGTGACTATTAATTGTTTCATACATCAAATTTTGGTAGAGTAAATATATAATACATTTTCTTGTGACTTCTTAATATTTTTGTTTGTGTGTTTTTCAAAGATACCACTGTCTTTTATCATGTTTTGAAGATTGTTTAAAATTCATTTTCCTAAATTCATTTGGGAATGGTTTGAGAATATCAACATTTTATATTAAACATATTTACAATTCATTAGATTGAGGTATAATTTTTTAAAGAAATGTGTGCGTCTTAGAAATAAATTTTGAGTTGTACAGTGGCCAGTGCATATCATGTGGCTGATGCTTAGATTAATTTTCCTTTCTGTTTTAACAAGCATATTGCTAATTTGATTGTCAGTTCAGGAAACATTTGGCAATTTTCTAGTTACAATAAAATGAATGATAGATCTTCTGAACTCTTTATAGTATAATGGGAGAAGTGGACATATGAACAGTCTTAATATTCCCTGGTAAAAGCAATCATACAGTTTCTTTGGGAGCACAAGAGGGAGTTCATCCGTGTGTGTGTGTGTGTGTGTGTGTGTGTGTGTGCGCGCTAGGGAGAGGGAGAGGTGGTAAGAGGGTTGTCAGTGGACAGGGAAAACCTTCCTGAAGAAGATATTACTATTTTTAATTCACAACTCTGGGGGTTAAAAGTAAAATGATAGCTTTGCAAAAATATGTTTTTATTGCGTTTTAGAGAGAGAGGAAGGGAGAGGGGATAGATAGAAACATCAATGAGAGAGGAACATCATCAATCAGCTGCCTCCTGCACACCCCCTACTGGGGATCGAGCCTGCAACTTGGGCATGTGCCCTGACTGCGAATCAAACCAGTGACTTCTTTGTTCCTGGGTCGACGTTCAACTGCTGAGTCACACCAGCTAGGCAAAGGTTAGCTTTTAAAAAAGAGTGATATTCAACCACCTTAGAAAAAGTTTATTAAAGTGAATTGATTAAATCAGCTTTTCTTTTTTGTTAGGGAGAAAACAGGTCTAGATTCATCATACAGAGCCCTTTCTAAACTGGTTTCTATCTTTATCCTCATCTTTCCACTCTGACCTACTTTTTAGTCATATAAAATTGTTAATTTATACTGTAATTACTTTTGGCTTAACACCAAGCTTAAGCCTTTTATTCGTAGGAAATTACCTAGGGTTTTCTTTTTTCCAATATTGTTTCTTAGGAAATGTACTGAGCTTAAATAAATGTGAACTGTCAGCTGTAGTCAACATTTTTTTTAAATGGTGAAAAAGTCCTTTAACAGTTAACTGTGTCTGGACTGGAGAACTGAGTGGACATGCATGCTTGGAAAGCCTGCTGGACCAGATTGTATAAAACCCTGCTTCCCTCTGCAGTCTATCGTAACTGGGCATGGAAGTTTGGGAAGTTTGTTAAAAGACATGGTTCTGTGTGGATGAGGCTTCCTTATGCTGGTCTGGTGTGGTCTGCATAAGGTGGTCTCTTCTCTTACATCCCTTCTGGGGCCTAGAGAAGTGAGGGTCAGGACTCCTATGGAGACTCCACTTGAAGATACGCTTTATTTGATGCATTGCTTTCTGGGCTGTGTATCAAATACGAACGAAAGGAGCTAGGTTATGGACTGTTGTCCTGTGAGTGTGAACCCAAGATCATAGGTGGTTGTTTGGAATAGATGTTGCAACATTGCATCTCCACACCTCAGGCCTGCACATGCCAGTCCTTCTTTCTAGAACACCCTTTCACTACTTCTTGTCAACTTTATTTTTTTTCCAAATCTGGCTCAAATGTCATCACCCCACATTTGCTCAAACAGAATAATTCATTACCTCTCTTGTTCCCCCATAATGACTTGTTTATATTTTTCTCATCAGTTTTATTTCATTGTTTGTATACATGTCTTCACCTATAGACTACATGCTCCTAAAGGACAAACATTTTGCATTTGCTGTATTTAGTATGTTAGTAGCATATAGTCAACACCTGGAAACTTTTGCTGAGTCAATAAATGATTGTCAACTCGTTTGGAATTAAAGAATGGATGAAAGAACCTGGTACTTGTTATTTCTAAGCACAATGTTTGTTTAATTTCTTACCAACTTATAATTTGGGGTATATTTCTTGAAGCATAAGGACCATCAGATGAGGTTTTGAAATATTTCCTAAAAAATCTCAATGAAAACTCAAGGAATATTTTTTTCTGAGTAATTAAAATTAGATAATCTTCTCATCTATAGGAAAAAATCCAAAATTCTTGGTAAGACTTTCAAGGTATTTCGTAATCTACCTCAACCTTTTCAACCTCCATTCCCAACCTATTTTCCCGAGGCTCCTGTTCCTGCTTTAGCAAATACCTTCCTATTTTCTGTACAGATTGTGTATTTTTCTACCTTATTGATCATGACCAGGTTTTTTCCCTAACTCCCATCTCCTCCCACTAACCCTCTCCACCTCTGCCCACTGAAATGCCACTGCACCAGGCCGTTCAAGGCCTGGCTGAAATGTTATCTTCTCTAATAAACCCCATTTAGTTTTCTAGTTGGAATTAATCTTTTTCCTGGGTTCCCCTGGCACCACCTTATGGTAGTCATCATGTACTGCCTTGTATCATAGATGCAGTTAACTCTAAGAATGCTGCAGTTAAAAGGTACACTAAATGTGAAGTTAAATGAATTGATAAAATGGTAAATGTATTTAGAAGCAAATGAACCCAGCTGAAGTTTTCATACTATTTTTTTAAAGTACAGATTTTTGAAATCTTACAAACTATTTTTTTATAGAATATAATAACCATTGTTAGAGTTCTTAAGTAAATACTTGTGATATAATTTAAATTAGGGAACATTTATTCCATTCTGCAGTTTGAACAAAAGAGAATTCCAAAATTTGAAACCTCTTCAAACTTTATGAACACTTGTAATGAAAGACAAATAGTATACATTAGTTTAAGAATTTTCATATTTCCCATTTTTTTCCCAGAAACCCTGTGATATAGACAGAGATTATCATACCTAATTTCTTTGGAGATTAAATCAGTTCAAGGAGTTTAGGTTCACCAAAATCAAATATTAAGTGGTAAAAACAGAATTTGAACTCAGGGTTGCCCAGGGTTTTTCTCATTCTAAGTACAGAAATGTTTCCAGAATACTGTGAGTCTCAGAAGATCTCCTGGCTTGTTGGAGTAGGCCATCGAAAAGAATTTCCAAGTAGCTTTTGTTACCTTGAAGTTCTCCACTGAGCCTCACCGGCCGGGCCTTCCTTGGTCTGAATTATCAACATGAAACTTTTCTTTGAACTTTCTCATTTTACTTAGCTAGTAAAATGTTCAGCTTTTTCCTCCTACTCAGCAACAGTTTGGCAAATAAAATTCGTATCAATATATTGCAAATGCTTCTGTGCACATGTATTTATTTAATGGTCATTGAGATTTGTGAGCTTAACTAAGGGCTGAAAATGTGGTTTGTATGAGCTTGTGTTAAAAAATACACTTGAGCCCTGACCTGTTTGGCTCAGTGGATAGAGCGTCAGCCTGCGGACTGAAGGGTCCCAGGTTCGATTCGGGACAGGGGCATGTACCTTGGTTGCGGGCATATCCCCAGTGGGGGGTGTGCAGGAGGCAGCTGATCGATGTTTCTCTCTCATCGATGTTTCTAACTCTATCCTTCTCCTTTCCTCTCTGTAAAAAAAAATCAAAATATATTAAAAAAAAATACACTTGAGCTTTTCCTAAAGCATAAAACAAAGGATAATTTAACACACTTAGTTTAGGATTCTTCAGAGAAAAATGTGCTTTAGATCATTAGAAAACATTTTTATTTTTAAAAAGAACTGAGGTATATCACATACTAGTAAGATAAATTCAATGCTATATGCTAATAAATTCTAGCTTCCACAAGGATTATAATGAAATTATTTTCTACTAGGTTTATTTGATAAAAACAACTGTCTTAATACAAAGAATTTTATCTGGTCCTATGGGGTGAGGGATAACACACTGGGCCATACCAAATTAAGCAATAAAGTTATTATCACATAGTATCCTTTATATTGTGTGTGCAGTATGCACCAGGTACTATTCTAAGCATTTTCTGTATATTATCTAATTCAATCCTCACACTAGCTCTATCATAGCAGTAGTTTACTACTACTATCCCATTTTCTAGATAAGAAGACATAGTAAGTGGTTATAGTGAAAGATCTTCAAATTTTTTATCAAGGAAGGAAATGTAAGGGCAGTGGATTTATTACAAAGAGAAACAGCTCCAAGAAAAGTAATTTTGTACGTAGATCTGTACTTATGAATTAGCAGGTATAGTCAGTTTGGACATTTTATGCTTATAAATTGTTGATTCTAGAAGAACCCAGAGAACATTTGAATTGATAAGATTCGACTAATAGACTCATAAAAATTGTAAAACTTAGTGAAATATACATGAAACGTTTTTAAACAAACTGCTTATTAAAGGCAAGGAGAGTGTTAGTAAAGAGCTTAGAGGGCTAGATTAGAATAAAGAAATTGTCTCTCCCCATCTGCTCTAATTAGCTTATCTCTCCTGCTTTCATAGCATGCTGAAGAGAGAAGAGTGAGGGGTACTTTGAAAGGACACCGTTTTTATTTACGCTCATTTATAATGGTTTTGGAATGTTTGCCAATTCTCAAACATAAATTTTTAAGTGTTAGATCTTTCCTGTAACAATTTGTTACTGGAAGCTTCAAGGCTTTGGGTGCTCAGTTAAGAATTTTGGTCTTTCCTCATCTCTTTGGTTTTGGCCAAATGATTATGTTTCCTCATTCTGGGAAGATTTCTTTGGGTATTTTGATATTTGTCCTGATAGAAGAAAACCTTTCATCATTAACAGGTACTTTAAAATTGACATTATTTTTATCCTTTTTTATATCTGTAATGTATTCTCTGTAAAAATAATATTTGATGTGACTGCTATAAGAAATTGAATCAAATACTATTCTATTAATCTTTGATATTGATTCATTTACACTGTTTTAAGAGCTCTCCAATAATTTTGGTTTTCCTCTTCGTTAGTATTTCCTGGTTCAAAACTTACTTCCTTTTACCTCTTGTATTGAAATTGGATGTATACTTGACTTCAATAACCAACAATCTGGAAACGAAGGAGTAAGAGTTAAATGGAGAAAAGATTGAATACTTCACTCCTCTCCTCCTTAGGCACCCATGTCTATAATCTGAGATTGACTTGAAAAATCCTTATGTGGCACAAATGGTTTTTTTTGTTGTTACCTTTCAGTTTTTCTTTGTTACCTTTCGTACTGTATCTTCATTTATCACCAGAAGCCTTGTTTATGCCTTCACTCTGTAGCACAGTCCTACTTATCTTTAGAAGAAACCCAAGAACCCACCAGTGCAATTTCTCTTCTCCCTCCTGACTCAGAATCCGCAGACTCTTCCCTGTCCAGTGGAAACAAACGACCCCGGGACCACAGAGAAGCTGAGAGACACTGGTTGCTTAGAAGAAGGCGATCCACTCTGTTCCCTAATGGAGTAAAAATCTGCCCTGATGAAAGTGTTACAGAGGCTGTGGCAAACCATGTGAAATATTTTCAAGTCCGAGGTAAGCCAAGATCCAAATCCTTGGGCTCTGTAATGGCATTCAAACATGGTTTTATCACATTTGTTGTGTCTCATTATAATTCACAATTTGTGATCATTTAGATAGGGACTGAGCCAAATATCTTTCTACTAGCTATGGAAAAGGGACTTGCTAAGGATATAGTATTCATACACCTTTGGAGGAAAGTTGACATTTTTTAACGAGAGGAAATGATTTAATTCTTTTTAAGCACTTTAAAAATATCTGTTCCTGTTATGGAATAAATGAATTATAATTTTCACTTCTTCATTACAGTAATTTGCCTAAATATACCTACAAAATATATTTATGAAGCTATACTTACCTATTTGACTAATTAGTTACTTTATATACATAAAATATCAATTTCAGTATTTTATAGTGTAGACATTCTATAGACTCATGCTGGTTATTCTCTGGTTGGTACACATAAAACTTTGACATCTAAAATGATGGCACTTCTCACAATAGACCTTATTGCAACAAAACTAGGATTTTATTTTATTTTTAGCTAAACAGTATTATCCTTGATTTCATACCTTTTTATTATGTGAACTCATTCTCTGTTTCCTCTGTTTACTAACCAAAATTGCTTAATTGACCATAATATATTCCTTAGATATTTGGAGGACTCCCAAACTTTGCTTTTTGCCCCTCAAGAACCAATAAAAAGCCATAAGATAGATGTGATGCTAGTAAACTAAAGTGGAGAAAGATGATGAAATGATGCTGAAACCAGGCTTGCTCATTCATGTTTAAATAGTCAATAAATATTTATTTAGCACTTACTGTTTTTTAGGCACTGGGCTATATGAAGCTTCACTCTGAGGTGCTACTTTATCTTCTCCTTATTTTCCTCCATTTTGTCCTTCCCCTCATCCTCCCTCACTAAAAGCACGTGTTTAAAAAAATAACAATAACAGATATTACATATATTTATATATTTGTTTTTTTTGTTTGTTAAAGTGGCATAATGTGTTAGCACCGTCCTCCCTCACTAAAGCACGTGTTTAAAAAAATAACAACAACAGATATTACATATATTTATATATTTGTTTTTTTGTTTGTTAAAGTGGCATAATGTGTTAGCACCTTTTATTTTTTTGGAGAATATTTGTATCTCTTGATTGTATTTGGGCCTATCAAACATTATTAAGCAATAAGCTTCTCTTTTACTTTTTGAATGGAAATCCTTTGGCCTGGCCTTTTGTGTATAGGACATATGCCAGAAATAGCAAACTCCAGAGAGTAGGAAGACAATAAAGGAACTGAAGATGAATGAGAGTGACAGTTTATAATTTATGAAAATATAATTTCTACTACCTGCATTTAAAAAAATATTATTTTAAAGTTGACCAGAATATCTAGATAGCTGCTTGTTAAATTAAAGAGGAAATGATCAATCATAACCAAAGGAATGTGGTTATTATGCCTTTTAATTGCTTTACTCTTTTGTTTATAAACTCACAAGATACTATTGATAAAGAAGCCAACAAAAAGAAAAATAAAGCATTCCTAGAATAACTAATTTTAAAATACAGATGCTATGAAAGGGATTATTGGAAAGGCGCCTTCTAACACTAAAACGGCTGGGACAGTACATCAAGATTGCAACAATGTTGATATAACTGTTACTGTCATGGTGTTGAGTATATATTTCATTTGTTATATTTTTAAAAATTAGGAAAAATTAATATTTCAACCTAGATCTTGATTTTGAAGAGATTTTGAAGGAGACAATTGGATTATGTCCTTAGAACCAAGGGTTTGGAAATTGGAGAGATCCATTTAATGTCCAACCAATGATCTTAGCTCTTTCCACAAAGCTAACTCAATCTAACGATTTGCCCAATTTTTCCTTCATAGAGTATTTGGTATCATTGCTACTTGGTGTAACAGTTTTGAAAAATATCTCCATTTAAGGAAGAAGCAACTATATTTAACCTAATGATTTGTAGAATTAAACAGATATTTAGGTTGGTTAGAGTAGAATGTAATTGATAGTATCTTTCTCTCTTTAAAAAAAAATCATATTTGTAGTTGGACCTTTTAAAATATAGTTTTATTAAGACATATTTTGATGGATTATAAACCACATATTTAAAGTATACAATTTGATTAGTTTTGACAAATATATTTACCCTTGATATTATCACTACAATTAAGATAATGAACTTATCAATCATCCCCAAACATTTTCTTATGTGCCTTCCCTCTCTTACCACTTCCATTTACCTCAGTACTGAGGCAGCCACTAATCTACTTTCTATCATTATATAGTATTTTGCATTCTATTCTTTTTTACATAAATGTAATCACATTATGTACTCTTGTTTTTGTTTGGCTTCTTTTACTAAGTGTAATTATTATTTTGTCTACTTTGTCATTTTATATTGGAATTTTATATTACTATTTAAAGATTGGAAATAGACTGTGTCTTAGGCACATAAGAAGAAATTGTAAATTTTGGATAGTAACCCATTATCAGATGTATCATTGGCGAATATCTTTTTCCATTCAGTAGATTGTCTTTTTATTTTGTTGATGATGGTTTCCTTTGCTTTGCAAAAACTTATTAGTTTGATGTAGTCCCATTTGCTTATTTTTTCTTTTATTTCCCTTGCCAGAGGAAATATGTTAGAAAAAATATTGTTACAAGACATATCTGAGATTTTACTGCCTATATTTTCTTCTAGGAGCTTTATGGTTTTGAGTTTTACATTTAAGTCTTTAATCCATGTTGAGTTTATTCTTGTGTATGGTGTAAGAAGGTGGTCTAGTTTCACTTTTTTGCCATTTGCAACAGTATGGATGGACCTAGAGGGTATTATGTTTAGTGAAATAAGTTAAATAGAGGCAAACACTATATGCTTTCATGTATATGTGGAATTTAAAGAACAAAATAAACAAACAAAATAGAAACAGACTCAGGTACAGAGAACAGACTGATGGTTGCAGAGGGGGTGGAGGTTGGGACCTGGGTGAAAAAAGGTAAAGGGATTAAGAAGTACAAATGGGTAGTTACAAAATAGTCACAGGGGTGTAAAGTACAGCACAGAGAATACAGTCAATATAATTATAATAACTATGTATATTGCCAGGGAGTACTTGAAATATTGGAGGGGGGGAATCACTTCGTAAAGTATCTGATTGTCTAACCCACTATGCTGTAATAATCCTATCTAATAATAGACAAACATGGTAATTAAATGTACCTCCGACACGCTTCCCATAGGCTAATCAGGGCGATATGCAAATTAACTGCCAACCAAGATGGTGGCCAGCAGCCAGGCAGCTGAAATGAACAGGAGGCTTGCTTGCTCCAGTGATGGAGGAAGCCAAGGTTCCCCGCCTGCCGGCCTCTGAGCTGCAGTCTAAGCAACAATGTTGCAATTATAGAAGCTAAACAAACCCTAGAAACCTGCTTTCAGCCAGCCGGGCCTCAGAGCTGGAGCTGCAACAGTGTTTCAATTATAGAAGCAAAACAAACCCAGATACCTGCTTTCAGCAGATGAGGTCTCAGAGCTGGAGCCCAGCCTCAGAGCTAAAGCCGGCTCTCAGCTCCAGTGACAGCCATAGAAGGTAAATAAATCCCAGAATAAAAAAAAAGAAAAAAAAGGAGAGGTTGGGAGCTTCAGTCCCCCGCCAGCCTGAAAATGGCCCTCAGCCCCTCACCCAGGCTGGCCAGGCACCCC